CATCGACTGCGCTCGCGCCGAAGTTGAGTTTTCACCCTTGTGTGATGTCCCATTACTTGACGCTCTTCATCAGCCGGCGAAGTTGCTCGTTCATGAAGATACCGATATTCCACCTGGAAATTTTGCCCTTGTTCCCGTTTCATGCAACGCCTACACGGACGCTACTTGCCTTTTTATGCCTTCCGATATCTTCAAGAGTCGTCGAGCTCTGCCGCTGCCTTTCGCAACAATTGACCTTGCCGCCGGAAGAAGCATTATGTTCGTAAGCAGTCCGCTTTCCACGCCTGTCACTTTGATTGCGGGGAAATGTCTCGGCCGCGTGCAGGATCTCGACCCTTCGGCTTTGGTTGATGTCCCGGATGACTACTGCGACCACCCAAAATCACTGTCGGCACTCGAGGAGTCGTTCAAGGATAATTGCTGACACTCTCACTCCCACCGAACATGCCGACCTGCTGAATCTTCTGCAAGAGTTCAGGAGTTCTTTCGATGTGTCGCAGCCTCAACTGGACCGCACGTCACAAGTCGAACATCATGTTGACACCGGCCTACACCAGCCACTGCGTCAAAGACCATACCGTGTCTCCGCTGAAGAGCGCCACGTCATCAACGATCAAGTCAAAGATATGCTTCGTAGAGACGTCATTCAACCGTCTCACAGTCCCTGGGCGTCTCCCTGTCGTCCTCTTGCGTAAGAAAGACGGATCTATCCGATTTTGCATGGACTATCGTCGTTTGAACAAGATAACGCGCAAGGACGTCTATCCTTTGCCGCGCATTGATGACGCCATCGACGCCCTTCACGGAGCGGAATTTTTCTCGTCGCTAGATTTGCGGTCTGGCTATTGGCAAGTTCCAATGGCTGAAGCCGATCGCCAAAAAACGGCATTTATTACACCAGACAGACTATACGAGTTTAGCGTCATGCCTTTTGGACTTTGTAACGCGCCTGCCACGTTTGAACGTCTTATAAATAATTCGCTATGTGGCCTCAAGTGGAATATCTGCCTCTGTTACCTCGACGTTGTAGTGGTTTTCTCCCACAATTTTCCTACGCACCTCCTTCTTCTCAGGCACGTTTTGACTTGCCTGACCAACGCTGGCCTGCAGCTTAACCTGGAAAAAATGCCGCTTCGCTGCACGCGAGCTCGTTATACTAGGCCACATCGTGTCCAAACACGGCGTATTACGTGACTCGGCAAAACTTCGAGCAGTCACAGAATTTCCCAAGCCAACGACCATGGAAGAACTTCGCAGTTTTGTAGGCCTATGGTTCGTATTTCCGGCGCTTTGTTCGCAATTTCGCATCTATCATGTCACCATTAACCCAGCTTCTTCGCGGTGACGTGAACCTCTCCTCCTAGTCCCCAGCATGTGACGTTGCCTTCACTACTCTACGCCGTCTGCTCACCTCCCCACCTATTCTTCGCCACTTCGACGCGACGGCTCCTACTGAAGTGCACACCGACGCCAGCGGCGTCGGGCTAGGCGCTGTCCTCGCTCAACGAAAGCCCGGCTATTCAGAATACGTTGTAGCCTACGCTAGCCGCACTCTGACAAAAGCCGAAACTAATTACAGCGTGACAGAAAAAAAGTGTTTGGCTCTGGTGTGGGCGCTTGGAAAATTACGGCCGTACTTATACGGCCGCCCGTTCGATCTAGTAACTGATCACCACGCGCTTTGCTGGCTCTCCACTTTGAAAGACCCTTCTGGCCGCCTTGCGCGATGGGCACTCCGCATCCAGGAGTACGACATTCGCGTCGTATACTACTGCGGACGCAAACACTCTGACGCTGATGCCCTGTCCCGCTCACCTTTATCACCAGATCCGACGTGCGGAAACACTCGCCTCGAGACCTTGTCATCGCTAAATCTCGACTCGATTGCCACCGAACAACGTCGTGACCCGTGGATCGCATCTCTCATCGAATATCTATCTGGCACGCCCAACCTTCCAGTATCTCGATCCCTCCGACGTCAAGCTTTCCAATTCGCCATCCGCGATCAACTCCTTCATCGACGCAACTACGCTCCCGATGGCCGCCGGTGGCTGCTGGTCATTCCACGCACTATACGATCGCAAGTATGCGCTTCTCTTCACGACGATCCGCAATGCGGCCACGCCAGAGTGTTCAAAACATATGAACGCCTTCGCCATCGCTATTACTGGCGCGGCATGTACAATTTTGTACGCAAATTTGTGCAGTGCTGTCCTGACTGCCAGCGACGCAAACCAACACTGCCACGTGCTACTGGCGCATTGCAGCCACTTCCATGCTCTGCCAAGCCATTTGATCGGGGAAGGGGGCCGTAGAGCGTTGACCTCTACGGCCCCCTTCCATTGACATCAAATGGTAATCGTGTGGATTATAGTGGCAGTTGACCACCTTACACGCTACGCCGAAACAGCCGCTTTGCCGAGCGCTACTGCTCAGGATGTCGCCTCTTTCATTTTACGTCGCTTTATCTTTCGACATGGTCCACCTCGAGAGCTCCTTAGTGACAGAGGCCGCGCTTTCCTCTCCGAGGTCGTCGAAACTCTGCTTCGGAATGCCACGTCATTCATCGGAAAACAACAGCATACCACCCGCAAACTAACGGGCTAACGGAACGGTTCAACCGCACGCTGGGTGATATGCTCTCAATGTACGTGGCATCTGATCATAGCAACTGGGACCGTGTTCTCCCATACGTCCCATTCGTATATAACACCGCAGTTCAAACCACCACGGGATTCTCACCTTTCTTTCTTCTTTATGGACGCGAGCCTTCCCATACAATCGACACCCTACTACCCTACCGTCCTGATGTTTCCGAGTGCCCACCTGTCTCTGATGCTTCCCGACAAGCCGAAGAGTGCCGCCAGCTCGCCCTTGCGTTCACCTCAAAAGAGCAGCAACGCCAGAAAGAACACCGTAGCACCGCCCTTTCAGATACCAGCTATGCCCCAGGGTCTTTTGTATGGCTCGCCTTTCCACACAAAACACCGGGACTCTCCTCGAAACTTGTCCCCCGGTACGAGGGGCCTTACACCATTTTAGAGAAAACCTCTCCAGTCAATTTCCTAATTGAGCCAGTTTCCAGATCGGACGACATGCGCTGGCGCGCACGTTACATCGTCCATGTTTCCCGACTGAAACCATACCATGAGCCTCTGCCTGACACTTCTTAAGTCGCCAGGATGCCTCCTTTTTCAGCGGGGGCGAATGTGAAGAAGAAGATGTGCCTGCGGCGAGCAGCATCGCCAACGCCGGCTCTCTCGACTCGTGCTTCTGCTCGCTGCTGTGCTGATCTCTGCTGGACGGTTCTTCACGCTGTCTTGCCGTTGTCGTTATCGACTAATAAACCTCGTCACAATTTATACATACATATATATATATATATATATATATATATATATATATATATATATATATACAAAAAGTTTTAGTGCTTTATTGTTATGGTCTTTATAACAATGGCAATCTCTGGGAGCTCGTGTTACGCACTTCCTTCTAGTCGTGTCACTTTCGGGGAGCGCACCTTTTGCTTAGAACTTGAAACTCCACAAACCACCACAATTTTTTTTCCGTTAGAGGAATACACACACAACGGTCTAAGTATTTTTCGTTTATGTTTGTAAATAAAAACACTGGTATCGACAATCTTTAAAAAGGGTACGCAGTGCCGGAGAACGCATTGACTATATTCCTAACGCCACTAGTTTAGAAGAGGTTTCGTTTTGATAACGAAGGGGTGGCTTTTCAGTTGTTATTTATGTTAGTGTGACGTCGAGGGTAGCCAGTAACTATTGACATTCTAGAGGTAGATCATGTTATGACTTATGACATGTTATGACTTATACAACTAATGGCTGCGTTGTCGCTCAGTGACCCAGACAGTAAATTAGGCGATTTAGGGTACATTCAGGGCATAGTGTTAGCCAACTCAGGGGAACTGTTCTGACTCGTCTGAATACTGTCTGGTACAGTGGCTTAGATACTGCTTAGATACTCAGTGACAGGCAACATTATTATCAAAGTAAAACACTTTAAATCTTTTCTCTGTCTTCGATGGATGGAGAGCATGAACAGTGCACACAGAATAAACCATACATCGCCCTTTCCCGTTGTCTCAAAGCATTGCGAGTAATATTTGCAGAGCAGATCAAATGCAAACAGTCCAGATTGCATATTGCCGAAGGCATCAATGTTCAATTCAGTGAGGTTTGCGAAGGATTACGAGGAAGAAGGAAACCTTCTTAGAATAAAGTTTGCAATGTTGAGTACCCTGGGAGCAGTTCCCAACTTTGTATGGCGTCTTACACAACATCTTCGCTAATAATTATTTGTTCTTCTAGGTCTCGTGTACCATGTGGCCAAGATTGATATGTGGGGTTTAACGTCCCAAAGCCACGAATTGATTAAGAGAGCCACCGTAGTGGAGGGCTCCGGAAATATCCACCACCTGAGTTTGTTTAACGTCCACCCAAGTCTGAGCACATGGGTCTACAGCATTTTTGCCTCCTTCGAAATTGCAGCCGCCGCCGCTGGGACTCGATCGCGCGACCTGCGGGTCAACCGCCGAGTAACCTTGGCCATTAGACCACCACGGCGGGCCGACGTGGCCTAGGGAATATTCTGTCAAATGATTGAATGTAAAATATTTCCTGATAACTATAATAAAATGATTAATTTTGAGCAACTTTAGATGCATTTTGATGATCCCAGTATAAAAGAAGATATGATGAAATTTTAACCCGTTTCCTTAAGAGAGCCACTATCCTTTTATTATTGATAAGTATACAATGTGGCGCAATAATTGTACTAATTGTCAGATTACAGAGAACACTTCCACAAGAAATACCGGAAGTATGACAAGCTGATTTCCGCATATCTGGTGCAGGCATCCTACTCTGCAGTATTCTTTAGACAATGTCAGGAAAGTGCTCTACGCCTTCCTGGTACATAGACGTGCTGAATAACCAAGACACTAAGAAATCAAAGCAAATGTAGACAAATGCAAGGAGTACAACTTTATTTTATTTGATGTAGTGTTCAAGGGTCGTTGAAGTATAAACCAAGGACAGCCGTAATAATTTACTCCGCGATTGTCTCTCTTCTTGCCACTACGAAAGTTGTTTCTGCAAACAAAACGAAAAAATATTATAGAAGTACAAAGCCGGCATGTTCTTTCAGCATATAGATAATAAAGCTCACTGTGTGAACAAAAGTGTCACAAATCGTTATTCACCTTCGGGCATCAAGCTCGCAATTATTAAAAAGTATTTCCTTTTAGCAAGTGTCACAAAGTGATGTTAAGTAGCACAAATGCGAAGATTAGTGATAACAATTTTTCAGTGACCAATGTTTTTAAAATAAGTTTTATATCCAAACAGAAACGTTGCTTGAGAACATGACTGACTGAGGAATACACAAAATGAAAAGTAACTCAATGACCAAACAATGCGCCTCTTTAGAAGCAACATACCTCATATACTTACATTTTTTGCGGAGGAGGGTGGCGTAGTTCAGAGGAGAGCCAAGACCGTAGCCATAGTTAAGGCCATAGCCGAGAAGACCGTGGCCGAATTCATAGTGGCCAGCACCGTAGCCGAGGGTGCCAACACCATAGCCATACACTGGGGCGGCGTGGTAGGCAGCGACAGCTGGGGCAGCGTGGGCAACGGTGGCAACAGCTGGAGTGGCGTGAACGGCAGTGACAGCTGGGGCAGCAGCGTAGGTCGACACTGGAGTGGCGTGGGCAACAGTGGCAACAGGGGCAAGAGCTGGAGCAACAGCGTAAGAGGCGACTGGGGCAGCAGCCACGGTAGCAACTGGTGCAGCGTGGGCAACAGTGGCGACGGGTGTCACAGCTGGAGCAACAGCGTAAGAAGCGACTGGGGAAGCAACAGCGGTGGCCACTGGGGCGTGGGCTACAGTAGCGTAGGAGGCCACTGGGGCAGCGTGAGCAACGGTGGCCACGGCTGGAGCAGCAGCCAGGCCAACACCGTAGCTAGTGGTGCCAACAAAACCAGCGAAAGCGCTGGTGGACAAAGCCAGAACAATGCAAGCACGGATCTGTAAAAGAAAACTTGAAGCTTTGGAAGGATGGCGACGTACAGAGCACCGACGTCTATTCGTAGAAAAGTTTAGAATAATTTTTTGTTCCAAAAACTTACCCACTAAGCACACAGGTGAGAAATAATATACCGCTGTTTACACTGCGGTGCTTTATTGGAGTGCTCTGAAGCTTACATATTCTATGAAAGTATATCTGAGCTGCTCATAGTCAGCCCACCTCACTCTATGTTTTTTTTGTAATCATCTGGATAAGGCATCTTTATTGTTGAAGAAATTCCACTTTTTAAGCTCCCAAATAAAATTTAGAGTCTCTCCTGAATGCTAGTGTCATAAGTGGGACAACATATTCGTTGAAGGAGGTATTTGGGCAAGTAATAAGTTCCTTTGTATTAGTGCAGAAAGTAGAAAAAGGGGTATCAGAGATTTCTTACCATCTTGAACCTACAGCCACTTTTGTGCCAACTGCTGGTGTGTGCCTCGTGTGCGGTGGCATTTATAGTAACACGAGCTATGCTTATTCATGCACGTAAGTAAGCTAAATAAGAAAAAAAAGTTGATGATCTTGCATAGCCGGTATCTTAGGGCACCAGGGCCTGACAGCATGCGAAGCATAAAAATGGAGAAATGCATTTCGAAAATTTATGAGCTTCGACACAGTCATCAGTTCACTAGAGACGTTTTTTGTGCCTTTCGTAGCCTTTTACGTATTAGCGGCCGTATTCTGGCAGGCTAGATGAAAGATGTTCCGTGTTCATTTTCAAGGATAGAATTACAACGCGATGTGATTCATGCAGAATAGTTATAATAGCCGAGACCAGATGCGTTCACGGAAAACCCTCTTGCGGCTGTCTTTTTATGAAAAATTGTCACCGTCCTTTTTGTCACTATTTGCATGAACGATTTCCATTTAGATGTCTTCATTCTAAGCATGAACCGGCTGGCTGGGTATATAACTAGGTCGTAATTATATCTAATGTAACCGGTGATAACGACGGAAAACTGTATTGGTTCGTCATTAGTGCTACAGGCGGAAATATATATGCTATGGTACGAACGGATGTACGAAATTTATAGATTTTTGAGACAGTTCTAGAGACCTCAAAGGCAAGTTCAGATCACTGTATGTTGCTTCATCGATTTTCATTGCACACATACCAATAAAGATAATGAATTACTTCATAGTAATATACAAAATTAGCACTGTGGTAAGTTATGACACTGCACGCACATCTCCACCTCATCTGTCTTGAGGTTTTGCGTCGGTGCATGCTTGCCTAAACATAATTGGCTATCGGCCACAGAGGACTTCTTTAGCCTTGCCAGAATATATAAACGCTTGTTGAATATCCCACGAACGAAATGACGAAGGCACCTGTGCTTTTCATATTGATCTGGAAGGGAGAAAAGATAAAAGGTTTATTGTCAGTATATAAGTCACTAGCGGTTAGATCTCCTGCCCGGAATACCATTGGCTCTGGCAGCTGTCCGGGCTCGGTGAACCATGGTCTACTTGATGCACTAAGTCTGAACCGGACAGGGCCGCCTCCCTCACGACGAACGTAGGATTGTCATTCGGTGGTACACTGGGAATATTTTGTCCCTCTCAAACCATGTGAAATAAAGGGGCCATCTGGGAAAAGAGTTTGCACCGTGCGTGGTTTACCAGAGAGTATATCTTGGAAAACACAGAAGGATTTGGAAATGATGATGATTGTGATTGTCACCACGTGGCATTAGATGCCTTATGTAGTTTAGGATAAGCAGTGACATCATCGTCTCGGACACCTAAGTAGTGCTTCGAGCTTTAGTCCGTGCCACAAATACATTATTGGACGTTGTCTCGCTGCTACAACTGCCAGAAATTATTACTCACTGTCCATACACCTTTATTGTCTACTGGGGCCACTTGGGCAATGTCATCACTAAAGATTTATTTGTTTTTTTCTCTCCGTAGCTCTCGCGTTCTTCGCAACCTGCCCTTCTATGTCGGGAATTGACTAGCAGTGAAGTATTATTTTTTTAAGACTGAATAGGCAGAATATTGTTCGGAGAAAGTTCCTTCGCAATGATATTATCTGTTACACTTAACTCCATAATTAAACGCTTAATATTGACCAATAATGAAAAGAATACTTCGAGACCTAAAGCTCTCACTCTGTTTAGCCTCTTTATTAACTTTACAATGATTGCGTTATGTTCAAATACCAGGCACCTTTTCAATTCCTCTTGCTGTCGCTGCTTAGTAGTAATGAAATACAACTTAATGTCTCATAACCACGGGTTACCATAAGTAAAGCTGTGTACTGCTTCTCTGTGGTAAGATATGAAAGAACAATATTCATAGACGGAAATAGGTCAGCAAGCTATTAAGGACTAGAATAGCCACTTTTACGAGCATATTAAGAAGACTTTCCTTGAAAGATAGAATTACCTGTGGCTAATTGACAATTATTGTCATTAAAATGTTAAAATTACTTGATGTTTACGATAACAAAACAAAACTGGGAACACCAAGTCAATTAGGCAATATAAAACCGAAATTATGTTCCGGGCATCTCAAATCAAAAATAATATTTATTATCGAGTCTCAAACAGAGGCATGAATAACAGCCTTTTATAAATATTGGGTTTGTTTCGATCTTCCCATTTATATTATTACTAAGAGCAATTATATGAAGGTAAGTTCAATAGAAGTTCCTGCTTGATGTGGCCCTATATATTGTACAATAATGCGTGTGGCATATCATAAGGTTGGATGGGGGTGGGGTCTCTACCAAGTGAAGAAAGCGGAGCAGGTAACACTACTGTGTGATTCAAAGAAGATTCCTGCTTATTAAAAGTGTGAATGTAGAAAGAAATTTCCAAAGATATGACGGAAGGACAACCGAATAATGGAAATGTTACACTTGCTACACCACATATAATTCGCAATTCCCTTAAAAAAGCATTTTGTACGCTTTCTGAGAAGATTTCGCAAGTTATGGTATTGTACTACTTAAATTATTTTGCGGGTGTCATCAAAGCGCGTGCAAGTGAATAATTTCATATCTAGGGGAGGCCGAGGAATCAATCAAGGGCGTGTCAGCTATTCGAGAAGTATGGAGATAGCTGCGTTCCTTTCATTGCGTGGCAGCTAAGCACCTCTATCTATGACATCAACGACACTTGTACAGCCAGCGTAAAGATCAAATGCGAAATTTGAGGCGCATTTGTAAGGAAGAGAGGAAGAGTTAAAGTCAAGAGCCGACATGTCAAACACATGGTCCGCGGGCCACATGCAGCCCGTGACTCGCTCACGACTGTCTTGGTCTCATCATTTATTTTTGTTAATATGGGTGCACAATAGTTACAGGGGCATGACTAGTCTAAAGCACTGTTTTAGTGAGAAACATTGTGTGTTCATCATGTGCTGATGCTTAAAAGTGAATAAAAAGATTTATTTTTGAGAACCAGCGTCTAGATTTTACCTATTTTTTTTTAGGCTGGTATCAACAATTGGTGCACATCTTGAGGCCAAATCGTCTTCCAAAATGCCTGGCATTTAGTAAATACGAAGACTTTTTTTTTCAAAGGAAGCATTTTTTGACCCTTCATACAGGCTATCCACTCTACTCGCCCACTCTCACTTTCTTCCCTGCCCCAGCCCTTGTAAAACCATATCGCATGAAACGACCCGCATTCTGCGGTGAGTTTGAGACTCCTGGTATAAGGTATCCAAGGTCAATGAAGTTGTACCATGTTTGGTACACCAGCGCTGGAGGAAACGTAATGAGTGAAAAAATAGAAGAAAGGCCATTAGTACACTGCGGGAGCAAGTGTAGATATTTTGCATATAAATTACTTCCAAAAGGTGACCAATTATGCGCGTTCACTGCAGTGATAGTCAGTGGAATGGACAATAGTGCAATGCCCCATCGCGTTCATTGTCTCTGCGTCTTTTCTGTTCTCCAACTGTGAACTGATGATGCTTGCAAAGGGTATGGCGATGGTGGTAGTGGCTGTCAGTAAATAGAATTCGAGTTATCTTATGGCGTCTAAAATCGCGGTGATGGTACAGGTTGGGCAGTTGTATTCTATTGCCTCCCTTTTGATACAAACGTCATTGTGACTTTCTGACAGGCAAAGAACAGACACTTTTTTCAGTGTTTAGCTGTTCTTTATACCATCTGTTTCATTACGTGTGATAATTTTTCTTCAATTGACAGCGCAATAATGATGCTTCTTACAAGCCATGTTAGTTGGTACATTGAGGCAGAATTTTTCATCGTGGCGCTCTACACAACCGCTCCAAACCACTATGTACCAGCAAACTCGGCTAACACGATCAATCTTCTGACATTGACTGCACTTGAGTAAATAACACAGTGGTGACCAGGTTTTCAAAAATTGCTTCTTTATACCAGCTGCATCGTAAGGTTTGAAAATAAGCTAGAATATTATATTTACAAGTTTAAAATCAACACACCATGTGGAGTTGGTTTTGTCACAAACTTCCGATGGTTCTTAAGTTTTGTTCGTCCTCCTTTTAAAGGGTAAATGGAATTTACTTTTCGGGGTGATATGTAGTTAATTGGCACGTGTTATTTACACGAAGCATGTTTTGAGCCACTTCACGTCAATGCTTAGCGCTGGTCATTACCGTCACAAAACTGGCGCCTATGAGTGTGTTCGTGGGAAGCTCAGAAATAAATGAAGGCTAGCCTTGTTTACCCGACTTAAATATCAACCCCCTTCTTCCCCCTCCCGGCCACTCAATCCACTATATTCAAAAGATAGACGTTCCTTTATCTATAACAATAGAACACCACAAATGCAAGGGTGCATGCTTGATGGCAGAATCGCGCCATGTATACATCGCTTCTGTAGCCATCGTGCCGCCCCTAGAAGCGATGCTGCAAAATGCTATGCCAAAAAGCTGTGAAAAATTCTCGTCGCCAGGCAGAGCAGTCCTGCCTCTGTGGGATCCCTTAGGAAACGAGCCTGACGCGCGCAAGTAAAAAGCACAGACTTTAACGTGTTGAAACTCACGTTACAAATTCTGCTCTTTGCATTCGGCGATCTACCATGATGCCGGAGACCTAACGAATACGAATGAAGTATAATATAGAACGGAGACAGTCAAAACTGTTCTCCGAGACCAGGTAGGAGCGTAGGCCTAGCTAGCAAAATCAGCGACAGTCCGGGGCGATCGTCTCGTGCTTAGCACTGACTGTGAGTGTGCCGAGATTTGCATGACCCACTACATTCATCATTACGTATTTCCCCCTCGCTGAAGATGGTGCCAAGTAAGTGTTCTAAGGTGTCGTGAGGACAAGTGGTTCGTGATATGGTTTGAGGCGATTCGCATGTACGATTTCGCGGCCTCGGCGATGCAGGTCCACAGTGGCCGTGAGGGGTTCGAAGACGTAGTTAACAGCGGAAGTTTGTTCTATGACGCGATAAGGTCCATGGTACCTGCTGACAAACTTTGTAGAG